GGCCTCCAGGAGTACGGGACCATGGCAAGTTGCATTCTGAGCATCGTTGACCTCGCAGGCCAAGGAGCAGAGCTATTCCGTAATCCAAGACCCTTCTAGATCTGGTTTTAGCTAAAAATATTTTTTTATACCTTGTTCGCAACGTATTTTTATATTTATGCTCGAAGATCGATTTTGTAAAACGAGACTCCATGATTGGAATAATATATATATATTTTTAATTATAGCTGGACTCGTGTTTAGCGAGCTACCTACGTACCCAAAATAGGATCAAGCCAAATCGTAGTTCAAATATGTTTGATTTAGCAATAGAACTTTTTCAAGTTGATGATGTTCCAAGGCCTTTGAACGGGATTTCCGTCAAGGTCTTGGTATACACCATTTCGGATTTTTTCTGTGATTTGATAAGGGCCTTCCTAGTTAATACCGAGTTTTCCAGCTCCTTTATTTTGTGTTATCTAACACTCGCCTTAAAACAAAGTCTCCTATATTTAAAGGTCTGTTTTTTAACTTTGAGTTATAGTATCGAGCGGTCAACTGTTGATAGTTCTGAAGTCGAATAAGGGATTGGTCTCGCCTTTCATCAATTGTATCGAGAACGTCTTCTAATAATTTAGAATTCAGTTCTTCGTTAAGTGGAGCTTCGCTCCGGCGTAAACCAGGAACATTCAGCTCGGCTGGGACTACTGCTTCCATCCCATATACTAATGAGAATGGAGTTTCTCCCGTTGCTCGTCTCGGGGTTGTTTGATATGCCCACAACACAGGTTGCAGCTAGTCATACCAACCACCTTTCCGAGCATTCAAACGTGTTTTAAGGTTGCTGAGAATGGTTTTATTGGAAGCTTCCGCTTGCCCATTTCCTTGAGGATACCTCGGCGTAGAATAGCTAAGTTTATCCCCCAAGTGGAACAAAAATCTTCAAAAGCATTTGAAATGAATTGTGGACCATTGTCCGTTACAATTTCGTAAGGAACTCCATGGCGACAAATAATGTGTTTCCACAAGAATGTCTTTACCACAAAATCTTGTATGTTTACGTAAGCTTTAGCTTCGATCCATTTGGAAAAATAGTCCGTTAGAACTAATAAGTATTGTACGCCTCGCATTGAGCGATTCATCGGACCAACTATATCCATTGACCATCTCATGAAAGGGTATGGAGCGGATATAGATGATAAAAATTCAGATGGCTGGTGAATATGAGGAGCGTGCATCTAGCATTTTTTACATCGTTTGGCGTAATCAATGCAGTTAGAAATCATAGTTGGCCAAAAATATCCTAATCGTTTGATTTTGAAAGCCATTGCTCGTCCTGAAGAATGACTACCGCAAAGTCCTTCGTGGACCTCACTTGTACAATGATTCTTTAATTATACAATACTTAGCGCTGATGATTCTTAATTTGCGAGCTTACCATTTGTTCGATGGTAGTTCTCCATTAAGAATAAAATTTTTGATGGGTACCCTCCAGTCAGCCCCCCAATCATTAGCGGAAGTATTATCCTTGAGTATAAACTTCCTCGGTTCCGGCTCGGAAGGAATATCAGGATCATTTTCGATTGTCACCAGAACTTCGTCATTATTTGCGGTATCCGAAAGTGTCTGTTCAGCTCGAGATGGTTCTTTAATGGGAACCTCCTGATCTTTTAGTTTTCTTCTCGGGTTTCTTTTAGGAAGTTCCGGCTGTGGAGTAAGTTCGTCATCTTGAGACTTCGCTCGTGATCTAGTGACAACAAACGAACTGTTCTTGCTGTCGGGATTTAATTCTGGAGTTTCGATATGTTCGTTTTCCAAAATATTATCGCTTCCTGTTTCTTCATCTGAAATACTTCATGAAGAAATGCATTCAACTGGAATCACTCGCTTGAGTTTGGGATCTGAGGTAGAAGATAGGGCGGCTAAAGCGTTTGCCGAAGTGTTCTCGCCTCGAGGTATTCGAACTAATTCGAATTTTTTGAATTTCTCAGCTAACTTTTTGACAGCCAAAAGGTAGGCTTCCATTCGAGGTGCCTTAGCTTCGTAATCTCCAATGAACTGGTTCACAACTAGCTGAGAATCACAGTAAGCTATTATTTTTTCTGCTCCAATTACAAGTGAGAATCACAGTAAGCTATTATTTTTTCTGCTCCAATTGCAAGAGCAAGCCAAAGTCCTGCTAAGAGAGCTTTGTATTCCACCTCGTTGTTCGAGGCTGGGAACATTAATCGAAATGATTGTTCGAATATTTCTTTTGTCGGAGTTTCGAGCCTAATACCGATTCCGGATCCTTATTTAGAAGAAGAGCCATCTAGGTGTAATTTCCATGTAGAGTCTGTTTCAATAAAGGTTCCATCATCTAATGGATGTTCAGTTAGAAAATCAGCCAGAACTTGTGCTTTTGCGCTAGTTCGACTTTTATATTCTATATCGTACTCACTGAGTTCGATAGCCCATTTTGCCAATCTACCGGACTGAATTGATCCGTGAAGAATTGAGCGAAGCGGATGAGAAGTTAAAACTTCTATCGGATGAGATTGGAAATAGGGTCTGAGTTTCCTAGTAGATATGACCACTGCTAAAGCTAATTTTTCCATCATGGTATATCTCGTTTCCGGACTGGTAAGAGATTTACTTATGTAAAAAATTGGCTTTTGATCACCTCGATCCTCTCGAACTAGAACCCCACTTACAGAATGATTAGAAACGTAAATGTAAATATAAAGTTTCTCATCTGACTCTGGTTTTGAGAGAATCGGTGGTGTTATCAGATAAGTTTTGAGTTGATCGAAAGCTGCTTCGCATTGATCATCCCACCGAAATTTTTTGTTTCCCTTTAAAATTTGATAAAAAGGGAGACATTTATTGGTGGATTTCGAGATGAAACGATTCAACGCAGCAATTCTGCCCGTCAATCGCTGGACCTCTTTAATGTTTTTTGGTGAAGGCATTGTGAGGAAAGCGTTAATTTGATTAGGATTTGCTTCTATTCCTCTTTCCGTGACTATGTATCCTAGGAACTCTCCGGAAGTCACACCAAAAGAACATTTAGCTAGATTTAATTTCATTTGAAACATTCACTACAGGAAATGAAGGTATTAATAGCAGTCCAGTATAGCGTTTTTAATATTTTTGCTATAGTTGAGTTTTGAGAAAGTTTACATAGCGTTTTCAAAAACGTAAACGCTATGATAAGATAAGCGCGAAAATATTTCGTAGTGGCGCTTAATTTTTAGAACAGTGATAGCATATGTAACACTGAAAACGTTATTGTAAGATTAACCGGGAAACCAAAAAATTGATTACCTCCAAAATTTTACTTTTTATTTTTTGGATCAAAATACCTCCAAAATTTTATTAAGTAACAAAAGAAAAAAAAAAAAAATTGAAGACGAGAAATAGATTCAAGATCTAAAACTTCTCTCTTTTCTCCTCTTTCTCTCTGAAACTAGATTGGGAACCATCACAACCAAAACCAATTTGTTTGTCTCTTCTTTCACTCTCGATCTCTCTCGATCCCTCTGAGTCTTAATTCCTCTCAGTCTCAACTCTGGATCTCGGTCGTCAGTTTCATCGATCTACAAATCTCTCTTAATCGTTTCTACTTTCAATTTCAGTTAAGCTTCTCTACCTTGTTGTTTATTTGGTCTCGATTTTGGCTCGAATCTCAAATTAGGAGTTTGATTTTATTTGTTGCTCGCTTTCGTAGACTCGGATTCATGAATAGGTTGAGTTTCAGTAGCTATATATGGGTTCATAATTCAATCTTGGTTTACCTTCATTAGCCACCTTCCCAATATAGTATAGACATGTATAGTCCCCTCGGGTCGAATATCAGAACATGTTAATATTAGCCCCCTACCCCTGTATCGAGACTAGATTCTGAGACCTTGAGACACATTTATTTTATTCTTTTCGAAGGTCTCCTAGTAAACTAGTAAAGCTACAAACGTTGGGTCTCTAATCAGATTTGCTTCCTTGATGTGTGTTTCTTACATAGCTGTCAA